CGGCCCATGGCAGGGTGAGCTGGAGCACAAATCCCGCACGGCCGCTGTTTTTCACTCTGCACACCCCATCTGGCCCAGGTCTCAGGGCCGTGCTAGAGCGGACGGGCTCTGTTACAGCCCGACTAAAGCAAAACACATGGGGTGTGTGGGTTCCTTCCAGATGCTCTCCTAGAGAAGAGCATGCAGAGAGCTATAATTACACCGTGTGATCCCGCCTTCATCAGCATCAAGGCCCACGTGGCTGCTTCCAGAGCCCCTCTCGTCACTAACTAGAGGCAGCAGCCTCCAAAAGCAGCTTTCTGCTGGCTGCCGGGAGCTGGGGAATAGGGTGCAGGGAGCTGGGGAATAGGGGCAGGGCCTGGACCAGTCTCCCATGGTCAGCTCCGATGCTTGGCAGCTTTTGCCATTTTTTTTTTAAATGCTGCAGAAGCTTTTAGGCATCTGGGCTTTAAAACATTCTGAAAAACAGATACTTTGGGCAGCTGTAACGACAGATCATGAGAACATGGCTGGGCCATGACGAGGGTCATTAAATTGTGTTGCTTGTTCTGGACTTAACGCTTCCGTGATTGTAGTTGTTGCCTTTTTTTAATTAAGCTGAGATGAAGTTGGAGCCCCAGACATAAAGTGTCTGAGTCCTTCGGACTCTCCAGAAAAGAGCCTGATGAAGCTCCATAGCTCTAAAGCAAGAAGTCCAGAAGATGCAGCAACTGACACTTTCTAAATGGGATTTTATTTCTCCCAGTGGCCTTGCACGCTTGGCGTGCCGAACACTCAGCTGTGGAGCGCTCTGCACAGTCTGGGTCAAAATATACATGATGGAGAGAGTGTTATATTTATAATTTTTATTGGTATAAATTATTCACTTCTCTAGGGACTGTCACATCATTATCTGTCTGCAGCAATTCTGGTCTTTGGAAATGGAGCTTTGAAGTGGTCTCCCCCCGCCCCCAGTGCCTGTTCTCCTCTCAGGGGCCGTGTTAATGTCACTTTAAAGATCTCGGATTATGCTCAGAGAAACTCGCAGCACATCGTTTGATTAAATGCTCCTTAAGCTCTGTGATCTCTGGCTTCTTCTCCATCTCCAGAACCTCCTGTCTCCTGTCATTGCTGGTCTCTGCTGAGATTTGCCAGCCGAAGGGCTGCCGTGACCCGGTTCCCCGCTCTGGGTGATCGGAGTTAGCCTGTGGGGCTCGCGGAGGCAGGGGAGCCTTAGCCCTACACCTAAGGAAGGCTCACGTTTCACATTTCCAGGGCTCAGCCCTGCTTCTTCCTGCAGCTGTACGTTCGCTAGGAACATTTCTTCGCTCCGTCTGGATCTTCCCAGCTGAGGGCTGAGCTTTCGTGTCCATGCTTGGAGAGTCCTGGGGCACCTAGCCAGCGTCCCGCTAGCTTCACTCGCTTCCCACACCGGTAGGGGCAGCTGCTCAGGGTTATTTCATAGAATCATGGAATGCTTTGGGTGGGAAGGGACCTTTAGAGCCCATCCAGCCCAACCCCTGCAGTGACAGGGACAGCTTTAACCAGACCAGGGTGCTCAGAGCCCCGTCCAACCTGGCCTGGGATGGTTCTAGGGATGGGGCCTCCACCGCCTCTCTGGGCAACCTGTTCCAGTGCTTCACCACCCTCATTGTAAAAAATTTCTTCCTTATATCCTTATATTTCCTGGTTTGCTGCCAGTTTTAGCCAAATGACCCAGCAAAACGATAGCTAAATTGGGGCTAACATCAGTGCTCCTGACTCATTCTCTTCTGACAACTAGCAAACTCCCCGTGGTTTTTGCTCTTCCTCCTTCGTTTCCCTTTTTCTTCTGTTTGACACCACAACCAGTGGCCCGTGGCTTTGCCTGGTGGTTCGTAGAGGTGAGACGACAGCCGGGTAAGCGCATGCACACGCACATGCGAGCCTGTTTCTCCTCGCCGTTTCAGCTGCGAAGCGCTGGAGCGGGCAGGGTGCAGCAGCCTCGGGGCGGCAGGGAGAGGTGGGCTGTGTCTGGCAGCGCACCAGCAGCCCGGGCTGGCCACAACCAGTGGCCCGTGGCTTTGCCTGGTGGTTCGTAGAGGTGAGACGACAGCCGGGTAAGCGCATGCACACGCACATGCGAGCCTGTTTCTCCTCGCCGTTTCAGCTGCGAAGCGCTGGAGCGGGCAGGGTGCAGCAGCCTCGGGGCGGCAGGGAGAGGTGGGCTGTGTCTGGCAGCGCACCAGCAGCCCGGGCTGGGTTTGTCACTCCTCCCTGTCCCACAGAGGACCCTGTGGATGGGAGGACACCGAGCAGAAGCTGATCTGTCCAGGGGTGCCCCTCATTCGTACTTGCTCATGTGGAGCCTGGAAAGTCCCCTCCCCAAAATAATTTCCCCTGCAGTTGGTCATAAGACCAACTTTTCCAGCCTGGATGATTCTAAGACTACTTCTTTGCCCTCTTGCCTGCTGTGGAGAGCCTGTAACAATTGCTCTGCAAGGTGGCTGTTCTCTCTAGCAGCTGCCGGTCCGTGTGCTCTCGGGTTTGCGTCGCTCTGTAACCTCCGATCCGAGTGGGTCTTGCTGAGCTCCACGCTCCTGCGACCAGGGCCAGAGCTCAGCAGCACGGAGCGCGAGGGAAAACCGCAGCAAGGGGTGGCTCCGGGCGCAGGACCCGTCCCTCCCTCTGAGCAGCTAGGAGCTCTTAACAAGCAAGGCACTTTTGTGGCTCTCTTCCCCCACTACGCAGCTTGCTCCAGCCTTTCTCTCAGCTCCGCAGGAGCCGGCATCCGTTCTTTCTGCTTTGAAGCTTCCCTCCTCCAGCCGTCCCCCAGGTGCGACCCTGCGGCTGCGCGGCAGAAGGACGACTCCCAAACGGCGCGAGGGCGAAGCGCACCTCGTGTGTGCAGCGTCCCTGGCGCCTGCCTGTCTGCGTCAGAGCTGGCTGCCCTGTAAATCCTTCAGGTCTTGTCAAGCAGCGGCAAAAGCCTCTCTGCTCGGGTCATAAATTCCTCCTCTTGCAGCTGTCTGGGAACGAGAGCGGCTTTTGCAACCTCTCCTTCCCATCCTCCGTTCTCTACACACGTGTGCGCGCGCAGGTTTTTCTCTCGTGTTGATCTTTGTCGTCACACCTGGGTACCTTTACTCCAGGGGAGGAACTGGAGTTAGGTGCTGGCACGGCCCAGGATGGGTGCTCTCTACGCCAGCCCCACTTTTTGGTGCCCAGGCCGAGGGGTGGGAGGTGGGGAACGTGCTCTGTTGGTTACCGCCTGGGATTTGGCGTCTGGACTTTCTCATTTGTCCTCCAGATCTTGTCCCTGCCCTGCTGGGCGTCCTCTCTCCCTTTCTCCAGGCTCTCCTTCCTGGCGTCCTCATTAGTGATCTCTGACAAAAGCTTGCTCCAGACAGGAGATGTTTTAGGAGACCTTTTCCAGCCAAAATCTCGGTCCTTTTCCACTGCCTGTAGCCTTGGGGAAACGGAGCTTAATGCTCCGAACTCACCTCGCCGCAGATGTTGGTGGATCCCCACCCGGACCCCGTTCGTGCTGTGTTGTCCGTGGGGCCGTGTGAGCACAGACCGACCTCTGTCTCTCCCCAGGTGTCCTGCAGCTCCTCCAGTCGAGGACTTCTCGCAAATTCCTGGCGTGTCGCCTCACTCCCGACATGGAAACCAAGCTGCTCTTCATGACCTCGCGGGTAATTCCCTCATGCGCGCTGGGGTTCCTGTGCCAGCGCGGGGGAGGAGGGCACTCGTCCCTGCCCGGTCCGCGGCGCGCCAGTCCCATTCCCACGCTGGCACTGGGCACGGGGAGGGAGGGCAGAGCTTTACTGGTGCAAGTATTTGTTGCTTCTGGCATCTAAAGGCGACAGGAGGAGGAGAGGCTGCCCAGCAGGAGCTGATGTAGATGGGCCTGAGACATCCCTGGTATTCATTAAAAGGCACAAAACAGCTTTGCAGGGGAACATTGCTCCTGGCTGGCCGCTTTCCAAGGCAAGCGCTTTCTCTGAAT